TCTCTCTCTCTCTCTCGCTCACTCTCGGTATCGCAGTCTTTATGTTGGCCTTCGCATGCCACACAGAAAGCATGCACCTCCGTTCATGCAGAAGACGAAGCTATGGCATCGAGGATCATTTGTACCTGAGCTCTGCAATTGACTTTGACACCTCCAGCATTGCCACTTTGGGTCCTTTTCGCCTTTTCGGCTTCACCGTTCGCCGGCCAATCCCTGTGCCGAGCTCCACACTTACACTCACAAAAGCCAAAATGAAGCCTGTCGTCGCCGGGACCGTCGGCTGCACGATGCTTGAGGGAGGGTCTACGTTCAGGAGAGGGCCCGCAAACGCGCTCTTGTCAAGAGCACGAACCCCGGAACCCAAAGACGACCGGAATCTGCTGGCAGCTGCAAGCAGCTGCAAGCATGCTCGACTCACCCGACTCCAGATCTTTTCATCCTTGGTGCACTCGCCCTCGCAGCCCTTGAGGTCGGATGTGAGCTGACGAACCTGCACGCCTCGCTGCGGAGATGCACTATAGGACCTAAGCCCGACCTCGACCTGGGGCCTTGCTGGGGTCGCTTGGGCGCCCTCTTTCAAAATCTTCGGGAACTCCGGAACCATCACGCGCGCTTTGGAGGATCGTGGGCAATGCAACAAGCTTGGCTCCCGCTTCAGATCTTCGAACCAATTAGATTCTGGGGCTTGTGTGGCTGAGTCTCTCCATGTCTGCTTGACCGGTCTGCCTATCTCACCGGTATGAAAGGCGAAAAAGTTGTATATCTCCACATGAAACTTCCCCAGAACTTTTCCCAGCGCACTGGACCACAGAAACAAGGAATGCAAAAGAAGCTGGGCCTTCATCATCGGCGATCATGCCCCAGCCAATAGGCGAGAGAGGCAGGTACTTCACATGCCTGCACGGAACGAAAGGAACTCAACGGGGAAGGAGCATGTGGCTTTTTGCAATTCCCTTGACGGATCAAAAGCAGTGTCAGGAGGACCCTAGTCCCACGAAGTTGTTGGAACATTCATGGGCTTTTTGTGGATGTGACCCGGAGACGAAAGTTTCGGCAGACGGGGAGATTCTGGAAGTATGCTGCGGATGTCCGGTTTTCCACCATGGGTTTGTCGGCGGTGACTTTGGGACCTTGTGCCCAGGGCCCAGGGCCTGTTAAGTTGCGGCCGGTTATGGGACGAGTTTCCATTGGTTTCAAAAGCCTTAGCCCCTCGCCCAGGCGGCCCGGCCCCCGCCTCGTCACCATCTTTGGGTGCTCTTCTTCCGGCTGTGCAGGTTGCATGTCCGCTGGCTCCACTGGCTGTGGGTGCATGTAGCTCGCAGGCTGTGGGTGCATGTAGGATTCCGGCGAATAGTAGGGCATAGGCCCCATCGGCTCTGGTCGCCTCCAGGGCGGCATGACCGGTGACGGGTGGTACGCTGGCATGCCCCATCGCGAAGGTGGTGGCATCATCATCCACGGCATTTGTCTTTCCTCCACAGCTTCCATGGCCTTCCCACGCATCTGCAAGGCGTTCAAGGCACAGGTCGAGCTTTCCAGGCACTCGTCGTCGCCCAAGAGGTCACCTGGCACAGCCTCCTGTGCGGACTGCCGGAGGAGTGCAGCTAGGAAGGCATGGAACGGTCGGGCCATTCGCGAAAGCTTCGGTGTCCGAGAAAACGCTGATAGCACGAAGAGGAGCCAACATGGCTGCAGAGATAACTTCACTTTTTGGAATCGCTGACTTGTGGGTGAAGCCCTCATGACTACCAGGTTTTTCCATATTGCTGCCGATGTAGATGCTTCTACACCCCACATGTCCACGACACCTTACTCTATACTTGCAGGAACGCTGTTTGGGAGCGTGCCCACATGCTTTCTTCGCCTGCAACGATTGGAGGCATGCGGGATGGGAGGGCGAATGTCGGTGCAGATTTCGACTCATGGTTCCCTTCTCCTCGCCTTAAGGCAGCCACGTCTATCTTCTACCGTGAACCTCGACCTGGAGAGCGTCTTGATGTGTTTCACTTGACCCTGCTGCAGACTGGCAGGTATTCTTGAGGATGGATTTGTGATGACCTTAGGGTGTGCAAGTTCCAGTTCAGTAGTTGACAATCGGGTCCGTCGTATCTAGGACTCTTATCCGTCCGAGACTCGATGATGGCGTAGAACTGGTCTCCGATCTCCCCTTGCTTGCACAGAACCTGATGCAAAAAGCTAACAAGCCAATTCCTCGGCCCATTCTCCAAGACCGCCGAAATCCAAGCCGTGCGTGTTGGGTTGTTTGAATGATGCCAACTGCAGAGGATGCACCAAGCCATGCTCTGCTGCATTCCGAGGACGATCTCTCTAAGATTTGGATTTACCGCAGGAGATGCTGTCTTGTCTCGGAACCGGTTAGTCTGTGCCGTCAAGCGTCACAGCAGGAGTCGCTTCCAACATCTTTGGGACCCTGGCATCATCCCGAATCCTGTTTGGACAACGAGCTGGGGCTCCAACATGGCCCTTGGCAGCGTTGACATATGTAGCCGCACCTGGAAACGCCGCCGGTGACTTTCGGCTACGCGCTACGCGCTGTGCAAGGCATCTTACTGGGACGTTCCCTCGGTGAGCACTCCGATTACCCTGACTGCGATGCCATCTTGGATGCCATCTTGGTACTCGGCCGAGGACTTGCATCAACGTCGGCCTGCGCTTGTCGACTCTGGTGCACATGCTTTGTCGGATTGGAGGTTTCGGCCAAGACAGCAGTGATCAGCCGTGGCGAAACAGCTAGCGGGCCCTCTCGCAGCTCGCAGTCCATGTCACCAAAACTCTGATCCTTCTGGTGGGCCTCTCGAAGTTTTTCAGCTCGGGAGTGTTCCTCACCAGCTTGGCCAGGAGCGACAGCTGCTCCTGCCGGCATCGCTCGCAAGCCTTGCAAGTGTTTAAGATTTATAAGAGTTTAGGATTGTACGAAAGTTCCAGCGCCGTGTGAGGGAGTTGGAACACCTAACGTCGAAGCCATCGGGCAAGCTGCCGGAATGAGGGTGCTGAGGGTGCTGGAGTTGGATTTGGATTGTAGGTCTTGTAGCGCTGAGCGTTTATGAGGCTGTGCTGAAGATGCTCTTTGGTTCGTGGAAGGTGTTTGACTTGGGCTGCCGGGAAGATCGAAGTACCACTGGTTTCATGGATTGCCTCGCCGGTGCTGACAAAGCCATATTTCAAGTCCTTTTGCCCTATTCAAAGCCCGGAACCATGTCCCAGACAACCATGTAGACACTCAGAAACAAGTGGCATAAAGGTTAAAGTGCGCCACGTTCCGGATCACCCAACAAGAGCAAAAACAGCAACATCAATCTCCGAGAGACCTAGTTGATGTGCCAAGGGACATCTTGTAAGCGGGAACAGCTCGTGGAACATTATGGACAAGGCTGTTTTTACCGTTGCCTCTTTTTTGCAACTGTTGGGTTTGGCTCTGCTAGTTGCTGCTGTCCCCAGGTGCTGTTGTTATCAATGCCGCCACCAAGAAGTAGGGAGCCGCCCAAACACGCAACTTGATCAGAAGCGCCTTAAGAGGGATAGCGGTTTTCCGCATTGCGCCTGCTGGACATTTCGACACAGAAGAAAAGCGCTTGACGAAGTCTGAGGTAGTGTTGGCCGTGAATTTTAAACGTCAACACACGACATGCTGAAAGGTCTCAAGGCCGGCAAAAGGTTGGCATGGATAGCCAGCAAGGCATCGAATCCAACGGCCTCCCAACCCAGTCATAAGCTGAGATACGAACCCAAGAACGTCAGCTGAACAACGAACACACACCTTAGTTTTATGAACCTGAATTATCTTATACACCACTTTCAGGCCCTGCCTCCAGACTCCACCACAATCCAAGAAAATCAATGCGGTAACCATATCTGTGACCTTCTTGACCACAACCATCACTGCTACATGCTGATACGATTGAAGCTACTGCTGTTCTTTCTTAGCTCACATCTCTTTGAAAGCCCGTCTCTTCTGCTCCTCAGAGCGCTGATGGGGCTCCCCCGGCCTTCCGCAAACTCAAGCGTCCAACTATGCCTTTTCTTCAGCTTCTGTTTTTTGCAGGCCAACTTATCGCTCTTATTTAAGCATCAAGGTCTAAGCGTAGCTTGACAGTGTGTGTCTTCTTCAGCAAGTTTTTGCCGTTTTCAGCACAGAGACTCACGTCTAAGTGGGCCAAAAAAAAGGAGTTTCCGGTATCTGGAAGCTAGGCTTGCCTCAGTGAAGGTCGTGCAGAAGTCAATAGTTTCGAAACGTTGGTCGCCTGATGCCTCCTCTTAGTCTCTCTCCAAAGGAATAGTATGTTGTATAATAAAGCAGCCTCAAACTCTCAAACCCTCAGCCCAAATCCAAGCTTCCGCGCAAGTCTCCCCCGGCCTGGACGGAGGGATATTGCGCAGCGCATGCACGATTCGATGCTTCTCGACCTGCAGCACCGGACTTCACAAATGCTCACGCGCCCTTGCGGCAATACTGCCCATGCTGTAGCAGTGCTTCCATCTGCTTTCTCGCTTCGAGTTGTCCTAGGATTCCCAGGTCCTGCCTGCATCTCCTTGAGGCAATGGAGATAATCGCGCCGCGTCAAGCGCAGAATCTGACAGGATTGAGGGAGGAGACTGCAACTCAGGGGGAGACTGCAGCACACAGGCCATGTGTGTCGTCCGTGCAGCAAATGGAGCCAGGATATTTCTTTTCTAGCCCTCACCGAAACCCTTCAGAAACACAAGAGAGGCGGCCTTGCAGCGGCCTTCGCATCGCACTGTGGGCTCGTGCATGGCGGGCCCTGCGGAAGCTCCAATCCGAGGAGTCTGCATGTGAGATGCACCCAGACTGTGACAAGCTTGGATGAACACCTCCCGACAAGACGCACGCACTCATAACGCCTCAAAGCCAAAGACTTTGGCACACCACTTGTTCCCTACTCGTCCTCGCCACCATCGGACTGACAAAGTCACCGGTGGCCTCCCGGGTCGACGATGTCACGCTGGCCGAGCACGAAGCCTGCGCGGATTCATGGACCCCGCCTAAGTTGCAGAAACCGCTGCAAGTGCGAAACTCCAATCCCTGTCCAAATCTCAAGTCCACCTTTGACCCCTCAACCGCCTTCACGAAAAAACCTTGTGTCACATCGGGAACATGCCTACTGCACCGCTGCAGACGTGCCTTTTTGCAGGTCGCCGTAGCGTTTCAGGTAAATCTTTCCATCCTCCTTGTCGGGCTTCCTTGGAGCGAAATCGTTCGGAGCAAAAACGTAAGCCACTTGCCTCTGGCTGGAGTTGCGGCTGGAGAAGCTGTCAGTAATGCTTGGTTGCTTTCTGCTTTATCTCTGTCTTCACTCCGAGCCAAAAGCTTGCTGTACAGTGCTGAGGCTACAGGCGGCATGCGGCATGCAGTGACAAACTGGAGCCTAGGGCGAAGCGTGAGTGCTCCATGCGATTATAGCGGACAGTCCCCTCTGAGGATGGTTAAAACAGAAAGAGCACCAGCAGCGTGCACATGTTTACCAAGTCTTCTCGGAAAAGCTCCTCCAGCTCCCCGCGAGAGCTTGCAGAAGCAGTCGCAGAGGCCGTCGCAGAGGCCGTCACGGAGGTCGTCGCAGAAGCCGCAGACTTGACACGTTTGCGCTGCTGTTAACGCCAGAGTTGGAGCGTCTTCTGCGACTGTGCCAAGGTGTGGCGAGCTCGATGGAAGAGCTGTTTCTTGAGCTCCTGAGAATTGTAGGTCTCGGTGGAGATGCAATGATCGGGCTCGTAGACGTGAGCCCACAGATGAATCACCTGGCAGCGTCAAATAAAGGTCTAGGGTTCAGGGTTTCTGTTATGACTCTCACACTCGCAGTAGGGTTTGGGGTTTAGGGGGTTGGTAGGGTTTAGGGTTCATGGCAGAGTCTCTCCAGTGCCTGCTCCAAGACTCTGGCGGCCTGCGTGCTGGCCGTGACCACCACGCAAGGCTGCTCGAGGATCGGGTCGAAGCCGAGGATGCCAGTCCTGTAGGTCTTCAGGCTATGTGAGCGTCCCCTTGCGCATTCCACGGCCTTCAGAATGCCATACGATCGAGCGGCTCCTAGACAGTCAGGAGTACAATACTCTACCTGCTGGACTGCCTGAACCGAAGCCACTGCCCATCAGCCCCTGGATCATCTGCTCCAAAAGTGGTTGCAAAAGTGCTCCTTAAGGATCAACGGCAGGGCCTGTCTCCACGAGCTTGGACAAGACTTCGCGGATCTCACTCGATGGAGGCGTCGGAAACTCAGGCGAAGCGGAGGCCGAGCCCTCAGTCCTTCGAAAACGAGCGGTAGCCGGCGGAGTGAAAAGCTGGTCTTCCGCGTCCGTGAGGCTTCTCTTGTTCCGTGGAGGTGTCTCGAGAGCTGGATGAGCAGAGGGCTCTGGGTTGATCAGTG